TAGTCAGAGTATGATTTTAAATGTGTACATATAACTTATAATAATAACTACACTAAAATTTTTCCCTTTTGTTGATCCCTTAGTGAAATAATACATGTAGTTAACAGTCATCTGTATAAAATGACATATGCCAAAGAGAAACATCTGAGACTTAACTCCTGATGTAGTATCACCTATGAAATATTATTACAAAAAATCTGAATCAGGTCAATTTTTTATATACAGATCCCTCTTTATTGGAAAAACAAAGGTCAGGGGACAATGTTAACACCAAAGGAATATATTCAACCAACTCTAGAACCTTTAGAAGTAGACAGAACAAATGCTCTCATCTCTTCAAAAAAATGCAAGAAGACACAAGTGAAGTTTGAAGGAGGGTCTCTAGATTATCAGAATTAAGCAACACATCAACCACATGAGTGGCATTTGTTTATATCTGGATTAAGGCAAACTACCTGTAAGAAATAAACAAAAAGAGCAACATCAATAACTTTAAAGAAACATATGTGGGTAGCCCATGACATTAAGAAGTCATTGTTGGGCTGGGAATATAGCTCAGGGGCACAGTGCCTGCCTGGCAAGCACAAGGTTGTGAGTTCGATTCCCGGTACCAAAAAAAAAAAAAAAAAGTCATTGTTGATTCTGTACATGTGATAAGATTATGACAACTGCACATTTTAAAAAACGAGTCCTTAGGGCTGTATATGGGAGTAACTGTGGATTGGATGCTAGGATTTATGGGACTGGTAGTGGAAAGGAGGGTATAGGACAAAACAAGAGGGTATAAATTGATGGTTATTGTAGCAGGGAGACGATACATGTGAGTCCATTACTCTCCAGTTTGAGTGTATTTGAAATTGCTATAATTATTTCTAAATTAACAAACCTTTTACATTTTCCCCTTTTTCTCTTTCTTAGTGCATGTTTGCCGTACGTAATGATTACATGTATTCTGGGGAGTTGATTCATGCAGGTAGCCCATCTTAATTCTTCTAGATTGATAAATCTTTGCTAATGCATCTATTACTATCATGTCCGTGATAGTACACACATCATGAAATTTTAATTACTAACTTGTACTGCTATTTAGAGCTACTCAACAGTACAAAAGTTAATTTTATAATGTTTTCTCTCTCACTGGCACTCAGATAAGTTGAAGCTGAGGAGCCTCGGTCAAGCAGTTAGTAAACGGCCCCCCAGGTCTGGAATTTGCCTTAGAACTCCAAATTCCAGGCTCTTGCCCTACATCTTTTAGAGAAGCGTAGGGGTGGGTTTTTTGAAGACTTTCCTCGCAAGGAAGACCTGATAAAAGAAGAGATCTGTGGGACAAGGCGCGAAGGAGCCCTCTTCCGCTGGGCTGGGGAGGGTTTTACAGCCTGTGGCCACCAGGTGGCGAAGGCTGCCCGCGGCTCGAAGGGCAGAAGGGTCCGCGGCCGGCGCACGGGCCCAGCCAGCGGGCCAAGGAGGCCCGGATCCTTCGCCGCGCTGCTGGTGCGGGCAGAGCGGGGTCGACCGAAGTTGGGAAGTTACGGCGCAGCTCTGCTGCCTCCGCAAGGGTTTATGGATGGAGGCCTGGGGCTTTTTTTTTTTTTTTTTTTTTTTTTTTTAAGAAGACAGGAGAAAAAGTGTGTGTGTCGGGGGAGTGCTGCCTGGAGGGTAACTTTGGGGAGTACTGCTCAGAATTGTTCCGCCTAAGTCTGTCCCGCGGAGAGCTTCACATGCAACCTCGCTGACAAGCAGAGGAGCACGAAGGTGTGTGTGTGTGTGTGAGTGTGTGTGTGTGTGTGTCTCCAAGAGAAGTTTACTTTTCTTCTACACTGTAAAAGGAGCGATTTCGGTGGTCACCAAGGTTAGAGGGCCATCATTTTAGAAAGAGAAGAAAAAGGAGAGGGAAAAAAAAAGAACTGCGCTCCAACCAGCCTGCCTCGTAACCGCTCAGCGCTTGCGCCCAGGGGGAGATTCAGGTTCTGGCGCGCAGGAAGCCCGGCGACCCCACGTGCGAGCGCCGCGGCCGGACCTCCGCCTGCGGCAGGGGCTCTGACAAGCCGCAAAGACAGGCGCAGGCGGGCGGGGTCCTCTGGCCGGAGCCCTCCACCTGGACTGCGACACTAGCACATTTAAAAGTCTAAAATTAAGGGGTGGAGTGGGGGCATTGCATAGAGGGGAGTCCAGTCGGTGTCGCCAATGCATTTTTGCAAATTGAATTTAAAAAGAGTTGCCTGTGATTTTGAAATCTCCACGCGATGAAAGCTAAACTTTTTGAATCCATAAGGCGGTGGGGACAGGGGACAGAGCTGGGAAGGGTGGGGGACTCAGCGTTCGGGCGAGTAAACGTGGAACTGATTGTTTGTGCGACTGTTCCATTTTCGGTGCCTGAATGTGGATACACATCCAGAGCATGTGAGGGTGTTTTTATGTCGGAATGTTTCCATGACACCTGCAGAGATCTTTTTAATGCAACTCTCCTTGTCTCCATCTTTGAGAAAGAACGAACAGACTGCAGAGGAGAGAGGTTAGACGGGGAGTCTGCCTCCGCCCAGCTTTAAAGTGTAATCAGTGCAGCTGTAAAGGGGGACAACAGAGGTCAGCAGCCGATCTGGAGCCTTGAAATTGTATTTCGAGGTTTGGAGATAGGTAACAAAGAGGCGCCCAGACACTGTCTGAAAATGGGACAAAGTAGTCCGCAGCTGCTTCTCCTGCCCAAGGATTTTAATTTTTTTTTTTTTCCCCTGATCCTTCCCGCCTTTCCTCGTTTTCTTTCCAGGTGTTGGCGACTCCCCACCCCACCCCCAGGATAGCTCACCTACATCCCAGCAATTCTTGGCTCTGCGACTTGGGGGAAGAATCCTGGAATCGCCAGGAGGGAATCTGTGCTGGGGCGGGGTGTGGGTTGAAGGAAGATCTTGCTCGGAATCATTCCCAAAGCAGAAGGAAAGAGAGAGAGAGAGAGACAGAGACAGAGACAGAGACAGAAAGAGACAGAGAGACAAAGAAAGGCGGGAGGGAGGAAGGCCGGGAGGGAGGGAGGGAGGGAGAGAGGAAGAAAGAAAGAATGAATCCAGGTGTTTTGTTTCTTTGCTTTTTCCTCCCCCCCCCCAAAGAACCGAAAGTGGCAATGTAAAAGGACACGCGTGGAAAACGACAGAAGTATTTTCTACTTCTAATCAAGTCTTCTTTACACCCCTGGTTTCCTCTTCCGATGCAGTTTGTTTGTTTTATTAAATACTTTTGTTTGGGGCAAGAACGAGGGAGACCCAAACCCTGGCAAGCCCGCAGACCCCCAAGCCGAAGTCTCCGCGCGGCGCAAGAAACGCAGCCAGCACCGGTGCAAACGCGGGGACTCTGGCGGAGAATGTAAACAAACGGGGCGCCGGGCCCTTGATCTTTATTTAAATAGAGGCTTGTTTATCGGTGTCATCCTAGGAGGATTAATTAGATACATCTCTTCACAATTTGGTGTCTGACACTCCATCTTAGGAATGTCTTATCACAAGGTGTTAATTGGGGCCACTCAGCCACTTACGTTTCTATTAAACACTGTGAGGGACTTTTCACAAGTCTCAGGTTCTTTATACTGTACGGTGCAAAAATATACAGGACTTGAAATAGACTAGGGGCAGAGTCTGCTCTCTCCCTGCTGCGCTTTGGGTTTGGGGACTTTCTAAAGGGCAGAAATAGGCGCGCATTCCATCGCATCTCCCCACTGGCCGCGGCTGGTGCCGATGCGGGAAGGGGGCAGGGCAGATTAGGTGTGTGCGTCCGAGTTGCACTCTCTCATCCACGGCGAATGTATATTAAAAAGCAGATCTTCAAGGTGTTCGCCCTCGGCTCCCCGGTAAAATTCCGGGGCGACCTTGCCAAAGAGTTTTGGGCAGGCGCTGTGGTGAAGGCAGAACTCGGAGTTTGCGCCCCACCAGGTCGCTGGGGCGCAGGAAGGGACTGAGCCCTAGAAGGACGGAGGGGATGGGAGACGCGACGGTCCAGGTACAAACTCCCGGCAGCCTTAATTGGGCGCAGAAGGGGAGGAGGTCCCGGCTGATCGCTCGCCTCCCAGCAGCTAATCCTCTTAGCAGCTGCATTTCCGCGCCAAGCAGTTAGCAAAATGACCCTCCCAGCCAGACCTTTACCCCAGGGTGAGAGCGGCTGGAAAGGTTTGCAAGCTGGGCTCGAAGCCGTCTGCAGATAAGCCTGGCGGGGTGTCTGGCGGGGGACAAAGGGCTCTCCGCCCCACTCCTTGGTTTAACTTTTCGGCACGCCCAGGGTTCAGCAGGGGATGGGTCTTCGGTCCTTCCGGGGAATGTGTCCAGCTAAGTGAGCCAAGCCCGGGGAACTGCTGTCCACAGCTTTGTGCAAAGCGGGGGTACGAGGCACAACCGAATTCTCCTTTGTGAGTGCCGTGCCCACCGCCAACCTGAGCCACAGCACCAGAGTCTCCCGCAAAATCCAGCTGGCGGCAAAGGACGCCAGCCAGCAGCTACAGAGAAGGGCAGCCCGCAAGAGCCGGTTCCGAAAGAGCCGTGGGTGGGAGCAAAAGCCTCGTTGTGGGCGGCTTTTGTGACTCGCGGCAACCCAGGGACCCGGAACTCGTAGGCGCTCAAAAGACCGCGGGGGTTCACAGGGAGCTTACCTGCGCCCAGAAATTGGTGGTTCCAAGTAAAGCTAGGAAACCAACCAGGGAACTAAGCACAGGGACGGAGGTTTTGGAAGCTTGGATTAAGCCCGAAGCCGGCAGTCTTATGTCTGGGCTGCAAACACTCCTGGCCCCAGCCAACACCCATTGTCCAGACTTCGGGGCAAGGAAATGGTCCCATTCATCTTGGAGAAAAAGATAAACAAAAGCACACCCCACTCCCACTACAGTATCCAGTTAAAAGAGTTCCTTCCGTGAGGGTAGAGGGCCTGAGCTAGTGTTCACTCTGGAAAAAGGTGGAGGAAGACGCAAAATGAGCTTTTTCAAACAAAGAACAAACCCCATAGCACAGAAGACAGAGCTATGACCATTCCCTTATTGAACCACATTTATTAAAAATGACTAAGACTGTACATAAAAACCCAACATCTCTAAAAAGCCTACGGGAGCTGTGGCATCAGACTGTTTCTTTTTCATATTACCAAGGGGTGGAGTAGGGAAGGCCAAGGAACAGGATAATAGGAGTTTTCCTCAAACACGGTTCAAGTCAGTACAGAGTAGCTGCATACATTCTTAACTATCAAGAATATTCCCAAATATGGGGATGATGAAATTCTCCCCTTGCCCCTGCAGCTGTTGTTTAGATGATTTGCAAATTCTTTACAAAGCCAAAGCACCAATTTTACATTGTCTGAGACACCTATGTAGCCTATTTGTACAATATATTCCACATTATTCTACAGTGTATCTAAACACACACAACTGTACAGGGTTTTTTGTTTTGTTTTTGTTTTCTTTTCTTTCTTTTTTTTTTTTTTTTTTTTTTTTTTTGGTGACTTCCTTCCTCACTCTCTCCTGAGTCCCACTGGCTACCTCAGCACACAGCAGAGGCCTAGCATGTCCCAAGGGAGGCAATCTTGGACTAGGGCAGACACGGCTTGTTCCCAAAGCCTGCGAGGAATCGAGAGTCAGGTAAAACCAGCACTTTGACAAAAGTCTTGCTTGACTCCCAGGCCTAACATCTTTTGCCCCTGGCAGAAGGTTAATAGCAAAAAGCTGCCTGCTGAAGCCTAAAGCCCAGCCCCTCTTTTCTAGAAGCAAACCACACTAACACTCAGGGCTTTTACTTGCTTAAAGATTTACAAGTAGAAACCGAGAGCCAAAGACCTTAGCTCATTTGCTAGAGTTGGGCACCCAGTCCTCACAGCCTGCATCGCTGAACAGTTAGTGTCTCCAGTAAATAAATCTAGAATGTTGACTAGCCCTCGAGCTTTAAAAACACTTCCTAAAGTCCTCCATTAACTTTATTTTTAAAAGGAAAAAATGCTAGGTTTGTTTCAGTTACCTGCAGCAATCAAAAAGCTTTGGCACCTTCTTTTAGAGAATTGCACAAAACGGGATGCATCAAGGTGGAAGGCAAACGTCTTTTTGGCAACCTAGGCAGAGAAGACAACAAGAACACCACCAAGTCCATTTGCAAAGAGCTAATGCTTACAAGGTTTAAACGACTCTTTAGGGAGTTGTGTAAAAGGCGTAATATCCCCCCATGCCTTTTGAGGTGTCTTTGCTGTACTCTTCAGCATTAATGTCCTCACACTTTATGGAGGGAGAATTTTCATTACTGGAGGTGCTAGGAGATAGCCGCCTTCGCTTACAAGCACTGGTATATACCCCCGAATCATTGGAATCTAGAGACTTGATGGAAGGGGGTGTTTCTATCCAAGAAGAGCCGATTTCCTCTTTGACTTTCTCCTTGGAAAGCTGATCTTCAGAGAACACAGGAGGGCTGGTTCTGGAGGTCCATGGTAGTCCAGCTGCCATCTTCCTCTGATACGAACCTCGACCTCCCCACCCTGCCATTGCAGGGAAGGTTGGGTCGGGGTAATACCCCAGGGCATGGGACGTCTGGAGGGGCAAGGATTTAATACCATATGGGAGCAAGGTACTGGAAGTATATTCAGATTCATAGGAGCCGATGTCTAGTTTGTTGGTCCCTGGTTGCTGGACGGGCGTGACAAGCCACCTCTGGGGAGGGTTGGCCACCTCTTCGCTCTGTTGGGGTGAAAGGAGGCCGTTGGTCTGTGGCACGGTTCTCTCGCCATTATAATATCGGGCTTGAGGTAAAGTGTTGACAAAGGGCTCCGGGAAGAAGGACTGAACGCCGTACCGACCTCCAGGGACAATCTGATGGGATCTAGGAGAATCCGTGGGAGATGGAGTTAACCTGTCATTTTCTGAAGCGGTGTACATGCTACAATATAAAGAGAAACACTTAAAAAAAAAAAACCCTAATGTTGTCCCCAAACAAACCACCTCCCAGAAATGCAAAGGGCTCGTGCAGTTGGGTGTCGGTATGGAGAACGCTGGTGGACGGAAGGAATGGCAGCAGAAGATGCCCGGCCACTTATAGCTGGACTCTTGCCTTATTGGGGACAACTTCCCACCACTTAAGGAAAAGTTGCTTCCCAGGCATTATGTATTTAAAGTTTTGCAAATCTACGTCTGCACATCCTAAAACATGAAGAACTCAGAGCAACCCTCCCTCCTCAATGTGATGGAAAGAATGCTGGCTGCGGTACTAGAAAATCCAGATTCTACAGGGTAGGGTCTCCCTATTGGATGCTGTGAAAAATACACCCTCCATTTTCAGGTTTTCTTATGTAAAAAGGGAGGAGGGGAAGTAATACCACCTGTTTTTGTGAGGATAAAATGTTGGATGAAATGAGAAAGGAAACTATATAAACAGATTCTTAAAATTCAAAGACTCTAGCATGCCTGTAATCCCGGCACTGGGCTGCTGAAGCAGGAGGATGTCAGGTTTGAGCTCAGTCTGGGCACCTCAGCCAGTGACTTTAGTGAGACTGTGTCTCAAAGAATGCTGGGATGTAGCTCACTGGGGAGGCCCTGGGTTCAATCCCCAGTAACACCAAATAAGTAAATAAATAAATAAATAAATAACTGTTCAAATCCCTAATTTTTTTAAAAAACATTATTCAACTTTAAGACTTTAATTTCTTCAGGATTAAAAAAAAAAACTTCTGTGAAAATTCTAAAGCAAGATTAGAGGAGGATATTGCCTTTATTTTATTAAGGCAAAAATAAAAATAGAGAAAACTCCATGCATTGAAAGCTGACTGTAAAGTCTGTCCTCAGAAAAGTGATGATGCGTGTCCTGCTCACAGATGACCGGGCGGGTGTGAGTGAAGGTTGTACTTACGAATCATAGTTGTCCCTGAAGCCTTTTGCAAAGGGGTTATGATCAATCTTCAGCTGAGTTATCTAAAAAGAGCAGAGAAGTAGTTGTTGAGTGCTTCATCACACTAGACCTGGCTGGAGAGATTCCTGAGAATCTGGGGCACTCACGTCTGTGTTTTGGTAGGCAGTCACTGCGATGAACTGTGTCTCTGAGAAGGTAAAGGTCTGGGTCTTCGAGGGCTCGTTCAAGTCTTCCACACCATCCTCTGTAACCTCAACAATGTGCAGCCGTGGTTGGTATTTGTGTAAAGACTGTAAGACTATCATCTGAAAATGATAGAGAAAGAGTTGCCGAATCTAAAAAGTCCCTTAGAGGCTCAACACACAGATGGTATATTTGGGGATGGGACTTCTGCCTGCTCCCTATCAATAGTTTTCTTTTTTAAATATTCATCTATATGATCTTACGATCTTAGCATTGCTACTCTTGAAATTTAAAGCATAGCTTCATATAACTATGATAAACACTCTTTCCTAAGTCCCTAAAAGGTTTCAATATTTCTCTTCCTAAGAGTCAACTCAGTGCAACTGAAATCCAGTAAGGAAGTACAAATAAGAAGAGTTCCAAAGCAAGATTAGAAATAGGTGAGCAAACAGGTCACGAGTGTAAATATGATAAACACAGTAGAGTATGGACTCTTCTCAGAAAAGGTACCAGTAGCCAGAAGACACCCCCCTCCTCCTCCTCTGTCACTCTACCTGGGTGTTGTTGTTATTTGCGCCTTTGTTATTGGTGAGTTTTAATTTCCCAAAGGAAATCTCCTGTCTCATCCAATGGGAACCAGTATTAGGAGACTCTGGGTGGACATACATTTTGTTGCCTAAGAGAAAAATGAAACAAAACACAAAACCCCAGCATGTAGGGCTGTCTACAAACGGAGGTAGGGGAGGGAATACACAGCACGGTCCCCCTGGGCCAGAGAACAGCAGGACTCCACTGATACCCTCACCAGCCCTCCTTGGTCTTAATTGTCTCAAAATAGCCATCAGGAGATGGACCTTGAAGACTGATGGGGGCTCTCTCCAGCTGGAAGGGCATCTAATGGAAGGTGGTCTGACTTTGATGGGTGAACCCGACCTTGGCAGAGGCTTTCCCAAGGGGACACTAGAATGCCAGGAGTAGTTCTGCCCAGAGGCTTCCATAACTATGAGTTTCTCAAATGTAGGAGCGGGGGGGTGGGGCAGGGCTATAGCCAAAGGTTTTATATACATGTATAACAGCAGGCAAGAAGTATGACATTGTAATTCTCAGTCAACAAACTCATACTAACACCTCTGGATCCCAAATAAAGAGGGTTGGGGGAGAGGGGGAAAGCTAGACTTCAGTAGGAGTTGTCTGAGGCCAGGGTTCCGATTTCCTCCCAGCCCTGGCCTGCTTTCTCCTCACCCTGCATATTATTGTCGGCTTTGCCGCAGGTCACCCACTTGCCCCCCTGGAAGCGCCAGTGGTTTGGGTCGGCCAGAACCACCTCTACGAACACGTTGTAGTGGGCGGTGGGATTGAGTCCGTTTATGTTGAAGCTCAAGAAAGGAAACATGCGCCTGTGCAAAGGAACAGAAGCAGGATAAGTCATTTAAATCGGGACGCTCGAAAATGCACCCGGACTCGCCGCGGTTCCCCCGGCACTTGAGGAGGGTCAGAACGGGGTACTATAGGTCTGCCACGAACACAGAACCGGTAGAGTGGCCCGGAACTATGATAATATTTCTGAATTGGCAACTCTCGGGCTAGCTGCCTCTTTTCCAAAGTGATTTGCCTCCAAAGCAGTACGTATTTCCTTACTGCACGTGCTTCTGAGACCTCTCCTGACTGAACTTCTCAGCACTTTTACATGCTTATTAAATTTCCTCTCAGGATGCTAACAATTATGAATTTTTAAATGCACAAGTGCCCTAGAACATTGCGCACGCGCGTATGTGTAGTGTATGGATATGGATATAGATATATATTATATAGTTTTAGGCTAAACGTCTCTAAGTATCTCTCTCCCAGCACCCACTTTCACTTTTCTCTGAAAAAACAAAAACAAAGACAAAAACAAACAAAAAACTCACGACAACAAAACAGCAAAAAAGCCAGTTATTAGTTGGAGATGTGTCAGAACTTCTTTGCGCTCTAAACCGAGTCAGATCTGGCTTTAGGTCCTGCCTAACCGCTAGCCTTCCCTGGCCGGCACTCCAGCCCCAGCAAACGTCTCCCACAGGCGCCCTGTGGAGACCCTGGCGCCTCGAGCTCCAGGAGCCCATTCACCGCGCTCGGCAGCAGCCAGCTCGAGCGCTCTTCTCCGTCCGCGGCTCCTCGCCTGCCGGTAGGGACCAGCCTATCTCAGCACATCCGCCAGAAGCCGACAGATCTTGTGAAGCCAGCTTTGTACACAAGCCCAAATTTCCATTTCCGCCTCCTCCTTGTCAGTCCAGGTGTGGACGACGAGGGCGGAGGGAAGAGTGTAGTCTAAGCCGCCGGTGCGCGGACGGAGGGTAGCACGCACTGGAGCACTGGTGTCTGCCTTATTGCGGGGTAAAACACCTCAAGCGGAGCGATGAACGAATGGGCACAGTTCCCTCGTCCCCTGCTTCCCCCGGGACCACGCATTCTCCTTTTATCCCTTCACCCTGGGACCCCTCCAGGCTGCTCTCACCTGCCCTGCTTCGTAATGATCATCTCAGTTTGGTGACGGTGGAATTTGAGCCACAGAGGCCGGTTGCACAGGTAGACGTGGGCGCGGAAGCCGGATCCGGGAACCCCCATGCCCCCCAGTCCTCCGCAAGATCCAGCCGCTGCGGTTCCGGGATACGGCCCGTAGAGCGGGGGCCCCTGGCTGTACTGATAGGCGCCGGGGCCGCCGCCCCCGCCCCCGCTGCCTCCCGCACTACTGGGCGCGCCGGCTCCTGGGCCAAACTGCGCCCTCCCGGGTGGGCACACGGCTGCGGGGAATCCACCGGGGGGCAGCATGGAGCCGTAGGGGTAACGCGTGCCGTTGGGAGCCGGGTAAACAGATCCGTGGGGCGCCCCGGCCGCTGCCTGGTACGGGAAGAGCGAGCAGGGCGCAGCCAGCTCGGAGCCCTGGGGCGCGGGGGACTGCAGGTAGTAGCGCTCGGAGTTCAGGCTGTCCATGGAGTAGCGCGCGGTGGCCGCGGCAGCGGCGGCGGCGGCGGCGGCGGCGGCAGCGGCGGAGGGCAGCTCCTCCTCCCCGCAGGGGGAGCCCTTGCGGCCGTCCGGGGGCCCTGGCTTGGCCACCACCGCGGCGCTGGTGAAGGTGTCCCCGGCGTCGGCGTCACTCAGCATGGCCGCGGGAGCCCCCGCTCCAGCTGCTGTGGGCTCCCCGTTCCCCGCCTCGCACGAGAGACCGCCCGAGAACTTCTTGGGCGCTTTGTCTAAGTCCAGCCTCTGCGGCGAGGGGTCAGCGCCGGGGAGGTGGGTGGCGCTCCCGCCGCCGCCGCCGCCTCGCGCACTCTCCAGCGGGTAGAAGTGCGCGCCGGGCAGGTTCACAGAGCTCACCAAGAGTTGTTCCCCTAACTGCATGCTTTGCAAAGCTCAGACGACAGCTGGCTGCTTCCTCTCCTCCCGTGGCCTTCTTATTATACAGGCAGGATGGGGGAGCCAGCGCCCTCTTCCGAGGGGAAGGTAACTTCCCCTTCCTCCCGCGCCCAGGCTACCCACCTGCGGGCTCGCGGGCAGCCACAGCGCGCACTCGCGCACCCTGAAGCCAGCGTCCTTTCGCGAGGAGAGCTCGCTGAGTGTTTTAGGCAGGAAGTGGAAGCTGACCGAGAAACACTGCGCCTTTCCTTGTCCGTCTCTCTTGTACGTCTGGACTCCCACACTCACAACCAGGCAAAAGAGGATTTAAGATCCTTGTTCCATCCACCCACCAGCCCGCGCCTTTCTGCCCTATACCTATCCCCAAACCATCCGTCCAGTTGAAAGCTTGGAAACTTGTGGGCTGTCACTGGCTGCTTTATATACGTGCGGCCGGGGAGGGGTTTAAAAAATCCCACAGCTCGAGGGTCCTCCTATTGGCTGATGGAGGTGACACTAATTCAATTAGGCATTTACTAATTGGATCAAGTCGCCTGCGACTCTCTTTTTCTTTAGCCTGTTTTTTTTCTTTTTTTCTTTTTAAAAAGACTGTCCCGCTGTGAGAATGAGTCTTGGAGTTTAGGGGCACAGGGTTTGAGGGCTGTCTTGCGGGGTCCCCCTTGGCACAAGAGATATCCCAGCGCTGCGCGTGGGCAATGCAGGAGCAGGTATCGCAGGGAGAAAGTCTCTGTAACTGCTTGCAGGGGAGGCACGTGTCCAGAGGCTGTAGAAATGGGGCGGGTTGGGAGAGACTCAAGAAAAAGTCTTTCCTGCCAGAAGCTGTAATTTCAAAGGCACACCTTCCTCCTGTGTCCTGAGTGCCCAGGAAGCTCTTTTTGTTGGGTCCCATTTTTTACCCAGTGGGAAGGGTATGTGGAGAGCAGCCTCGCGCTCAGCTTTTGTGATTCCGGGACCGCGAGCGCACGGCACCATCCTCGAAGACCTAAGCGCTCAGCCTCTCAATCGGAAGCCCGAGTAGGGTGGGGCACTGGGGACCAAAGAAGAGCGAAACTAAGCGAGCCAGCCGTTTACCCTCACACCCTCGCCTGCAGCCCTGCGTTCTGGAGGCAGTCACTCTTACTGCACACGATTGAAAATCCACGCTACTCCGTTTTCTTCAATCCTGGGTGTTTCCTACTTCCCCACCTCCAACACCACCTTCAGTGGAGCTTGATACCAAGAAACAAAGGTTCTCTAGCAGCCGTGAGGCTGAGATTCCCTGACCTTTTCCTCCAGCACAACACAGAAGGTAGAATAATTAGTGAAATAATCAGTTTGATATTGAATTAAGCTCCTTTGCCCCAGCTGCCTGCTTCTTCCCTGCTTTTCCGCAGAGTCAAGAACCGCGCGGTCCTCTTTTATTGTTTTATTATTACAGAAGGGGTGGGGCACGTTTCCTTGCAGTGGAGGAGTAGCTTGAATATTTGCTGTTAATCAGCAATTACGGACGCCGCCAGTAATCGCTCCAGGAGCGCATTTTCCGGCTGAGATGTCGGACTCTGCTTCCCCAACCAAACGCGATCACACGGGAAACTTTTCGCTTACAACAGATGAGGTGGCCGTAGGATCTGTTGAGCGGTCACACACCAGAACAACACGAAGCTTTCCAACCCGGGTTCAGACCACGGCAGCACCTACTTCCACCTCGGCTGCATGAGGGTCAGACAGTGCAGCGGTCCCTAGCGCACGGGGAAGCTGCAGGGCGTTTATCTCTGTGTTTGGGGTGGTGGTGAAAACCGTAGGCGCGCAGGGAGGTTTTCAGGACACAACCCAAGGTCAAAGGGGCAAGTTAAGAAGTATGCGCCAGCGCAACGGTCGTGTCAGTTTTAGGGCAGAGACCCCAGAATCAGAATCTGGGAAAGCTGGCACCACGTGCGCTCAGCCCTGCGCTCCTACTCTTCGTCCCAACGCTTTAGTTCGCCTTTGGATGGCTGTCTGCTCAGATTACTTCACCGTCCACTCCTTGGTTTTAATTTGATCTAGGGGAGTCTTGAGGACTGGTTTTTCAAATAGTACGGCGCTTTTTACACACTTCATGATTTTCACCGTGGTGCTTCGTGGTGGCACACGAGCAGGAGCGCAAGGAGTGGAAGGCGCTGCGCGGCGTTGGCGACGTAGCCACTGGCTAGCGGGTGCTGGTTACACGTCATGGGCTCTTCCGCGTTAGCCTTGACCTGCGCTTGGGGTGTCTGAGGGAAAAGCAGGTGTGAGACCACATCTCACGTACTTTGGAAACTGGGTGGCCGAGGGTACTGGGCAGTTTTGCCCTTTAACAGCGAGAAGCAGGCCTCGATGTCCCTTCAAAACGCTTTCTAAGCGGCCAGAGAAACGCTGCGCAAATGGCAAAGTGCCATCGCAGGCAACAGGCATCGTTCCGACCCACTCTGGCGCAAATAACGCGGGCCAGCTGTCCTCCGTGCCACATCAGAAAGGGTTGATTCTATTCCATCCCCAGAGCAAGCCCATGAAAGCTCCTGGGTTCATCGAGTGCCACCAAATTATTAAATATATGCATGGTGTGTATCACTGAGATTGGATTGATTCTTAGGAAAGGGAATTGCAGTTTATATTTCCCCATCTCTCCAGAAAAATCTATTATTTTACCCAGAATCTAAAACATTTTACAAATGGAGAAGCAAAGGCAAATTTGAAGATTCTAAATAGTTTTAACAAAACTATTCTGAGATTCAGAATTTTTAGAAAATGGAGGTTATGTAAGAATATTATATTAAATCTATAAGTATATATATTACAAATTTCTTTTTAACAAAAAAGCACTGCTTCAACTACAGATTTTTTTTCATGTTTGTAAAGAGACAAAATCTCATTTAATGCTTCTGTAGTAACTGATTACTATTATTGTCACTGTTATTATTATTGCATATAGTATATACCTAGAGAGTACAGATGAACAAATGTGTGATTACTTATGTGGAATGGGTTTTTCTTTTGATGGCAAATAATATTTGTAACTAGAGAAAGAGACATAAAAATGTTTTCCTCTGTCCCAGACACACTTCAAAATTCCCACCTTCTTTTCCAAAAATGGAAACAGAAACAAAAGCTAAAGCAGAGGCTTCAGCAAACTTGTCAGGCAGTACCCTACTTAAGCTGGGCAAATAACAGAACCTTCCAGCCTGTTTGCTGTTTGATTTCAGTTACACCCCTAGGTTCATGAAATCCAAATGAGACATTTATTGAAAAGTGCCTGGTTTTACGTGGCTCAACTGACAGTACTGGAATACATGAAACAAAAACATCAACACTGGGGAGGAAATGTGGAGACCCCTTGGAACCCCAGACTCAAATGCTGGCTGGATTGACTCCAATCTTTACTTTTCAGCCTGAGATGGAACAAGGCGGGACCTCTGAGGGGCACGAGGAAGCCAAAGCCAAGGGTACGTGTGAGCATTATCGAAGATCTCATGTTTCATTGTCCTCAGCAATAATAGCAACTTCATGCCACTGGCTTATTCTGATAACATAAGGTTATAACCAACAACCAGGGGACCTTTTTTTTCTCCCCTTAAAAGTGCATGGATCTTGTCAAAGCAAAACTGAGAAGCATTTAGATGTAACAAGACTATTATGCATCAAATACATACAAAGATGCATGAATAAATTACAGAGGTGAGTTATAGATGAGTGTAATGACATATGGTTTACCTCCCATCCACCCTGCTTCAACTCCCACACAAGCAAGGGGGCCCATATAAATGTCTCAATAAACTCTATTATTTTCACCCCCACTAAAAACGTGTTATCAAAACACTGTCCATGTTATTCAAACACTTTGTAAATTCTGAACAGACTTGCTGCCAGCTCTCCTTTTAACCCTAGGAAAACATTCCAACATTAACCGGTCACCAGCGCTTCGCCTGGACTCTGGGAAAAAGTCAATAGGTTTTTTTGTGGCAAGCTGGTCCTTTTACTATTTATCTATGGCCTTTTCTTTGTTGATGTTACATTTTATTTCACCATCTCTGGTTCACTCTTTGGCCCATTGTTCTCTGATGAGAGAGCCACCTTAGCTCTGCTTCCATAGGGGGAGGGAACTTTTATCATGGCAAGGTTGTTCATGTTTCTTTCTTTTTAAAGGAAATTTCAGGTAGGATAAAACATTTTGGCAAGGACAAGTAGCTTTGAGTATGCTAGCATGAACAACATCTTACCAACACACTTTCACTTTTCTAAGAATTTATAGAACTTAAATTTCACTGTGACAGACTGAAACAGGCTGGTCACTTGCTTAAAAAGTAAAAATCCCCAGACCCCACAAATGTGAGAGGCAAAGGATTATGCTGAACTCACTATATTTTTTCAAACAAGATTGATCTATTTAAGCTATTGTCTTAGTTATAGGTCCATAGGGTTAAAATGTTGCTCACTGCTAAAGTATGAATGAAGGGGAAATCCTGAAATCAAAGTTAATAAGCATAAAAACATTGCTCATCATCAAAAATAAATTATCCTCTCCTAAACATTAAATCAAGAACCTTTGGTAGCGGCCCACAACCTTGATTTACCTTCTTAATGAAAGTATTTTTTTTTAAACTGCAAGTGAATTTCTGGATTTAGCTTCTGTTTATCATCATCATCTTTTCATATTTTGGGCATGCATATATTCACATAAAAAACAAGGAAAGCGCAGCACCTGCCTGGCAAACACAAGGTTGTGAGATCGATCCCTGGTACTTAAAAAAAACACAAAAACAAAAACAAAAACAAAAAGCCCTCATTCTCCAAAAACAAGGAATGCCAAATGAGGCAAAAAAGTAAAATGTACTCAAAAACTGTATTATGAGACTGTTTGGTTAATTATTACTGCATTAAGGTATGAAGTCATATAGGGCTCCTTATGTCATACTAAGTTTCCTACCTTTTCAGCCACCCAGTACTCAGTAGGTGCTTATCTGTTGTTGAAAGAAAGGGTTGCTCAATCTGTGTGCTACAGCACCTAACATAATCCCAATGTTAGGTTTTAAGCTTTACAACTATGAAAGGTAAAGTGAAAATGCTTTTCTTCTTAAACACACACACACACACACACACACACACACACACCCTCCTAAGTGAATAGACCTTCCATGTTAATCTTTTTTACACATTAAGAGACATTTTCCCAAAGACCACACAGTT